AGCAGCTTGGGTAATATTGTTTTCTATGGACCACGTTTTTTTTTATAGGATAAGGGTGACAAACGAGCACACAGTCCACCTGATGGTAAGTGGTTGCTGCCGCCCATAGACATCTACATCTATTATCTATCCTCTATTACAAATCAAAATGCAGATGCGTTGTCACCCGTGAGGACTAAGATGGAATGCCTCAATTCCAGTAAAAAGGGCCTCCGGCCACCTGCACTCACCAAGCGAAACGCAGAGGTAAACCTCTACTTCACGCTGGTATTCTGTGAGGTCGTGATACCACCCCGGTTTGAGCCGGCCCATCCGTGCGTCAGCAAAAGCTGCAGCGTGGCTCTACCACTGTTAAGTGGTTTTATGCTGTGTAAAAACATCAAGTTCTTCAGTGTTTCATTGTTGAAAATTTATTTTTATAGAGTCGAGTTTCTCATCTGTTATTAATACGAAGATGAATACCGATATTCAACGTTTTTAATCTTTTAAATAGTAAAATAAGGATACTTGTATTTTTTCTCGAATTCGAGGTAAATATATACGACTGAGGGGTGAACAAAAACGCCTTTGGGGTTAATAGAAACGAAGAAAGGGGTGAACAGATACGAATGAGGGGTTATTAGAAACGTAGAAGAGGTTCATAGAAACATGATTTTTACGGTTGTCAAAAACTCACAGAAAACCAGCGTAAAATAACAGCTTAACGCTGCTGTGTTTCATATGGTGAGTGTAGAGAACCGGAGACCCTTTTTACTGGCAAAGAGGCATTCCATCTTAGTCCTCACGGGTGACAACGCATCTACATCTTGAGTAGTATGGGTCACAGTAACCACTTACTGTGACCCATAGACATCTACATCTTGTTTGTCACCCTATCCTATTAAAAAAAATTAGTGTTATATATTTTAACAAACTTTGGAACTTTTTTTTATTTTCATTATTTAAAAAAATATTTAAGTATTCATATTTATGTAAACAGTGGCTTATTTATTTAATGGCTTTATGTCGAAAATGCTTACGCTGCATAGCAGTAAAATTACATTACTCTGAAATTTTAAGTTACATAATATGTAATTGTATAGATTTATTAACTAATTATTTTTTATAAAGTCAATTTTGATGAAGTTATGTTTTCTTTTATTTGACTCACAACCTACATAAGTACTACAACAAAAGCAAATTTGACAACCCTAGCATTTTTTTCTATTCATCCCTATGTCGTATCTATTAACCCCGGATTCCCGGTATATAGAAACAGAGAACTTTTTTCTAAAATACAATGAATTTGCATGTTTTTACTCGTTTGAAGCATTAGTATTCGATAAACTACAATTAGAATCAGAGAGTTCTTGTGTTTCTCTGATCCGTTTACTGCATACACGTCTAGGTGTTATTATTCTAAGACTACAACAAGACTCATAACATTAACGTGTTTTATTATCAGCTTAAATACAGCTAATATAAGTAAGAAAAACACATTATTGTAATAATATAAGCTAAGAATATAAGTTTATTGTTCTGAAAATGTTCGCAAGTTTTAGGTTCAAGTCTACTTACCTTCAAGTGGATTGTAATCTAGCACTAGCTAATTATAAGTAGAATGAAAGTTATGGTGCTGGATTTTAATGATGATGATCTCTTTCTCTAGACATTTCTACATTGTCGAAATCCCTCTAACCACTAATTTACGTACTAATTCAAATTTCGTGTCTATTACCTGGTACTTTCGCAGCCTCGTCTTCTTCTAACAAAACTACGTCGCTTGATGATTGATCGTCGTCCATTTTAAATGAAATAATTAACTAATGTACTCTTTGTAAGAATTTACGTTGTGCACATTTGGTGAACATCAACAAATCAATATCATCGTAGTGTTAGATTTTTGGATTGGTGACTTAATTAGGTATTTCTTTTTTATTTTGTAATGTCTCATTCTCATATACATATACCGGTAACAAGGAGGTTGTAAAATATAACCTCCTTGACCGGTAATCAGACCCAAACCTGCAAGATTTGAGCAGGAACAAGACTAAGCCTGCGAGACTCTTGCGTCTTGCTGTTAGGACTGATTGTCGTTTCAGGGATTATAGGAGTTCGGGTATACTCTTAGGGATTCTATGAGACGCAAAAAAATATATTAATTTTTTTTGGAAAATTGGACTTATGCGCATTACGAACAATTACATAAATATCATAGAATTATTACGCATAGAAGCGCAGTCCAGTACAAAACACGAGCGTTAAAATGATGCAAGGTCATAATGTTAGTGGGCGCGAGTCGAATGTGCCTACGTTCGTCACACGCACACATACACGCCATTCAGTGATACCAGTTTCTGGCGTTTGCAATCAAATTGTGCAAATCACTGTTTTTTGATTAATTTAAAAAAATCGATATAATAAAGATTACGTATTACGTACGAAGATGTATTTTATGAGAATATAAAATGAAATAAAATAAACACGATAATGATGGTACTAATATAACTTTATTATACATATATTAATGGTAAAAAAAGCAAACGTAATAAAATTTAAGAATATTATTAAACACAATTAATTTGCTCGAATAGAATAAGCACATCGTATAATGTTTAATTTTTACCGACTTCAAAAAGGGAGGAGGTTATCAATTCGGTGAATTTTTAATGTTTTTTACCTCAGAATCTTCCAATTTCTAAACTGATTTAGATTTTTTTATTTGAAAGGATATACACAGATTGATCGATGAACGATGAAATTTTAATGGTTGTTTTCCCGAAGTAAAATGATTTTGCCTTAGTAGTACAATATATTTATTAAAATAGAATTATTAGGATATAAAAATCGCATATTTACAATCGAGAAAAACAAAACTCGAATACGATCTCAAACCAATAGCAATATCTCGCAAGTAGGTCGGGCGTGCAGGCTAGCTTATACCGAATTACGAGTACTATAATAAAGTCTGAAAAAAAATTCGCTGGGCGTAATGTAGTTTTACGTCTATCGCACGTGCTACCGCGCGCTTCCTACACAGAGAAGGGCCACTAATAAATGTTCATAACATGAACTCTCAAGCGTAGTGATACGACATAAACTAGTTTGGAATAGCTTGTGAGGTATTACTATTGTAAATCTGCCCTTTTTAATTGTAATATTTTTTAATTTCGCAAATTGACTCTACTATCGAGACAGTATAATTTGGCTGCGGGACAACAACCACTAAAATTTCAGCATGTATATACGAATTGATCAAGCTGAGAAATCAGTGTACATACATATTGATAACCTTTCTTTTTTGGAGTCGGTTAAAATAGGCTATGTTTGGGTCTAACGTAACATCTGGTTAATGTTTGGGTGTAAAGTGACATCTGGTTAGTAAAGGCGTTCTTATTAATAATCTCATGACGTTGTAAATAAAAAAGTTTTATTCTATACTCTAAAATGTAGCCTTAGTCAATAAAAAAAGCAATTAAAATAAGGCTAAGGCTACGTTTTAGAGTGGGTCCTTTAGGTGGTACTACAGGGAATGGAACTATTTATTCAATCATCTGTGGTACCCATCGGAGGCAGATCTCAGCCTTGGTTTGATCACTCCTGTAAGACTGCATTACGCAGTAAGCAGGAGTGTTATCAAGCCTGGGCTGCGGCTTCGGCGACTCGGGATGTGAATAATAGCACACTTAAAAAGAAGTACAACTTCGTATTCAGAGTTATTGCCAGGGCAAAGTCAGAGCACATAGGTAGAATTGGCGAGAAACTAGTTCGCCTTCCTTCGGGAACCCGTGCATTCTGGTCTCTCGCCAAGGCTGTCCAAGGGAATTTCTGTAAGCCATCACTACCATCTTTGCACAGGGAGGACGACTCACTGGCCCAAGCCGCAAAAGACAAAGCTGTGCTGAGCACGCCAAGCTTTTTAGAGGCCAATTTGGCCTTCCCTTCCAAGTGACCACGAAACTGCACGTCACTCGATATGTCGACTCCGAGGATACCGATACTGGCTGAGGCAAGAAGGGGAGTGCCTTGAAACTGAGGAGATACGACAAAGGGGTTCTTTTTAGCGGTAAACGCGCAAACTTGTGTCTTCTGAGGATTAAATTGGACTAGATTTAGTCGCCCCCAATCCGAAACTTTGTTCAGCAAAGACTCGACTTCAGACACAAGTTTGTTCCGGTACTCAGCGACGTTTTCCCGAGAAATATTGGCACGGCCGGTGTATAGAGCATCACCAGTGCTGTCATCCGCATAGCAATGAATGTTACCAGTTAGCAACATATCATTGATATGCAGAAGAAACAGCGTTGGTGATAGCACACAGCCTTGTGGAACACCAGCGTTAATAGGCTTGTAGTCAGAGCATGCACATTATCAATAATTATTTCAAATTTATGGGGTTTCGTTGTAAGGAGATTATTTTAATATTTATTCCTTTAAATAAATTAGATATGACTCTTATGGAATCAAGATTATGTAGAAAAATATTGTGTTTTTATTAGTTGATATATCTTTTTAATAAAAAGTAGATAGCTCCTAAAAACCGCAAAAATAACGACTAGCGTGACATTTTGCTCAACCATGCGCCTTAAGGTACTTTTCAAAACAAACTAAACTTAATCAAAATCGGTTCATCCATTTAGGAACTATGATGCCACAGATACAAAGACGCACTACAAACATATAGCACCACCCCCCCCCCCCCGTTTTCGTCGGCGGTTAAAAAAAACGTCGTCGTCTTTCCATCCGAATATAATCTGGGCGTTTTCAAGGCAAGAGTGAATAGGCATTTGTTACGCTCAGACAGTGCGATTTACCATCTAAGGCTGCAACACCACTTACCACCAGGTGGGATTGATTGACACCACCTTACAAGAATATTGAATGTATTATGTACAATTACATGTCAAATTAAAAAAAAGATGACGCAATAAATCAGTAGCTTGCAAGGTTATAATATAATAGGTAACTTGTAACTACTTCCAAATGAGAGGTTACGATGGTAATAATACAAACAACTTTTTTATAACCTTTTATATAATTTAACACCATTTTACAAAAACATGACAATATAAAAATAAAACTACTAAAAATCTATTCAAAATCGCAATTAACGATAGTGACACTGCAAACTATGGTAACAATATTCACATTCCTATTTAGAGGCTGGGATAATTTACCCCTAATGCATATGCTATACAATCTTGTCGTATTCCAATATGAGTAAAATCATAAGGTTTTAATTTAGAAATAAAATGAATTACTATAATTTAAAAAAAAAATATGCGTGAGTGTCGTGGAACACTCGGTTGAAACGAAGTTCCTTACGTAGTATATTATTATTGATAAACGTATTATATTATTGATTAACAATTACATATAAATGAATATTTCTTTCAAGGCAAGATTAGAAAAAGTGCGAGGGAGACCGATATTATTCCTTATAGCCGCCAAGGCCGTCTACACTACGTAAGAAGGGATCGTAACGGAAAAATCTTACTCTTTTTCTCGCCTAGCTCCCATCCGTCAAATTCGTACCGTCCGATAAGGAACTTCATTTCAAATATGTTTCACAAAATAGGTACGTAACGTAACATTATATGCATAGAACACAGCTTTGTTGCATTATAACATTTTTTATTTCTTTATTTTATTGCTAATTATTTGTTGTTGGTTGTTGTTGGAGGTTTACAGTGAAATTAAACGTGTAATATATAAAAGATAGAAATAATAATTTCCACATTACAACTTCAGAAGGTGATACTAAGACAAAGTGTAGAAGAATTAAGATCCAGAATTCTGAAGCTGGCGTTTACTTTATTCAAAAATATCATTATCTGAACTTTTTGGATGGACAAAGAAATATCACGAGCTTGAGTTAACAACTGGAATATCGCCTAAATATGTAATATAAACATTAAGCACTTATTTTCTTCAAATTTATATGGTGGTCCCATCTCCTGAAGGAAAATTTATTTATAAATATCTATTGTATTACTAGCTTGCACATTGTATATTTATCAAATCTTAGAATAATAGACTCTGATTTGTGTATTATATAAACTTGTACCCTCTGTAGATCACACACAATTACGCTAATTGTTTTAACTGTTCATAATATTGTATTTTCTACGTGATTGTTTGCAATATTTAGAGAAAATAAATGTCTTTAACCCTATTGTGAAAGAATTCAACCGCACAATGCTCTACGAAAAGGGTAACTTTTCACGGTATCCACTTACCATCAGGTAAGTGGATACCGTGGCCCATAGACATCTACATTTATCATAGATTAAGAATCAAAATGCAGATGCGTTGTCACCCCTGAGGGCTAAGATGGAATGCCTCGTTTCCAGTAAAAAGGGTCTGCGGTTGTCTATACTAACTATACGAAATACAGCAACATTAAGCTGCTATTTTACGCTGGTGTTCTGTAACAGCGTGATCCTACCGCGGTCGAGCAGAGCAATTCGTGCCGTGAACTTTAGGAAGACCATCGCCTTCATGACCAGGCTGCACAGGACACCACCTACGCTACAGCTCCGTGGGCAGGACGTACCTTGGAAGAAGACCATTACTAACCTCGGATGACAGATAGATTGCTCACTCGTGAGCCAGGCTAGTTGCGCGAGCGAAATTCTACACTGTGCGACATCCAACCTATCCAAAAGAATGAACATAGGCATCTATAAGACCTACGTCCGCTCGCGGCTAACATGCGCAGCACCAGCCGGGTACGCGTTGGCATCAGGCACTCAGCGCAAGATACAAGCCCAGCAAATATATATAACCATGTGTGATTTGTAGGAAAGGTTTCATTAAATACATGAGTAATTGAATTATTGACTGACATAGACTCTGGTAACCGCCATATTGAATTAATTGCCATAGACTACTAAAAGGATACTACGCATCAGACGGAAATCTTAGAACAACCATTACGAACACTTCCTGCACTACGAGTAATTGTGAAATGACGAAATGAAATGGAAAGCATACAAGCATTTGAAGTCCGTAAAGAATATACAGGGTTATTTTTCACAGAGTAGCCAAATTTTAAACTTAAATTTAAATTTATAAATAATGATATACTGTTATTGCAGTTTTTGAAAATACGAGTACATAAGGCTACTACTTTTATTTGAAATTATTCCAAATTAAATGTGATTTATGGACAACAACGTTTTTGCCTACCGATCGACCCTTACAAATGTGTGCATGCGCAGTAAAAATAATGCATTACCACGTATTTTGAATTTAAAATACAATAAGGACATAATGTTTAAGATTTTTTTAAATTAATTTTCCGCCATCATTTGCCTATATTACTTATTCCGAACCTTTTCTCCAAATTTGGCCAGTCATTGCAAAATAACCCCGTATAAAAAATTTATATAGGTGATGTAAAGATATGCATTCCTATTAAAAATATCAATAAAAAATTGTAGTTTCATTACCAGATGGAAATATTTCCATCCAGATCTAGAAACCCAGCATCATATCAAACGTCAGAACTACATTAAAACTACTTTTACAAAATACTTATATGAAAAGATGCATATTTTATGATTACTAATGCATAGCATGAAAATCTCAATGGCCACAGGTAGTCAGTGTGCTGTGGTGCGTCAAAGGAACTTATTTTATGGGCTTTGGATACTCGTAAATTGGCCACGTCACGGCACTATTACACAGTAAACACAGATAAGTCTTTTATCAATATAATAGGTATTTATATGTAAGTAACGTTAAATAACATTATTTTAAACATGATTTGATAACGTTATCGAAACATTTTACATTCGGTATATACACATAAATAACAGAAAAAAATTTCAAAGTAAGTAATTTATTTTAAATCATAACTTAATGATTATTATACCTTCAAAATGAAAAAAATAACGTTAATAAAAAAAACGTACAACTCAATTTATTACAGTGCTATAGAAACAAAATAACGAAAAAAAATTAATGCGTCGTACGCATTATTTTAGTCCATTGTCACTATAACTTTCTTTAGTTACAATATCACAAATTAACAATTTTTTTTAACATTATATATTAAGTATAATAAACAACAATGTAAAGGCATCGTGATAACAAGTTAACACAATTTTCATAATAATAATGGCTTTCGTCTCGGCTCAATTTACTACATTTTAGAGGGTATTGAGCAGTGGGTCATGCTGTCCTGAGTTGCTGGCAGAGTTTACATGACGTGTGACAAATAATTAAGCTTCTCTCTTGAACTAATTAGATCTTAAATAGCTTCAATATATAAAAAATACAACATATACTACGTGACCAAAACAATTAGGCGCATGACAGCTAAGACGTCATTAGAACAGGGAGGGAATACCGAAACGGTGATTGGTCACTAGGGAAGCGCGGGGATAGAGGTGGGGTGCGGTTTTGCCAAGTTATAGTTAAAAAAGATCCTCCATATTTTATAATAAAGTAAAGCATTGGTTTCCGATGCCCATATTTTTTTATCGTGATATATAGAGCAAAATGATAATGTAAAAAAAACAGAAAAATTTAATTGTACAAAATCATTACAACTGTGGCAATATTATTAAATTTGTTTTATATTCTGTTTGTCAGATTTTTATTACGACTCTGTAATAATAATTAATCAAATAATAATAAAATAATTACTAATGTTAACAAGAAAATCGATGATGTCATAAAATATACTGAAAGTTTTCATCGATATTGGTATTGATACTTTCAAAAAAACTTGCAAAAAACTTTTCATTATACTAATTAAGAAACTAGCCCTAAGCCCATATAATGGTAACTTACTCAATGGTAAGTGACCTGCAGTCCAGCAAACTTGCAGCTAAGTTTTAACAAAATAGGAATGCCTCAAAGACCCTACCCCCCACAGTTAAATTAAATTACACCCCCACCTCAACCAAAAAAAATCATAATTTTCCTTTACTATCTAACCCTTGTAAGCCATACAACAGAAAGTTAGCTATATATGGTGCTACCCTCTCCGGATGCACCACATGTATATCATGGTGCCCGGGCACATCTCTCACTCTATAATTACCACTGGGATGTGTTGTCTCATCTAGCATGAACTTTGTCGTATCATACTTTCCTTTTCTAACCGACTCATCCGTTACTATTGCTAGTATAGGCGTTTTGATACTTGTATATAGATCTTTTACCGTACTGGGTGAGATTGGGTAATGAAACAATGTTTTGAGACGCTGGTCAAATGTAAATCTGCAACAAAAAAAAATGTGTAAAGGAGAAAGTCTAGATTTTGATTCTACTAAACAAAATAAGTAAAGTTTTAGTGTATCTAGCTTATAATATACATAAATAAAATAGCGATTCGCGCGTCTTAGCAAGGGCGATTTCTGGATATCGACAACAGCGCTTCCTAAGAGTTCAATTATTAATCTAAGCCATCCAGGGACCCACGTAAATACAATTTCATCAAAATCGGTCCAGTCGATTAGGAGTTCAGTGACAAACACACGTACAAAATAATTATATATATAAAGACTAGCGATCCGCCCCGGCTTCGCACGGGTGATTTCTGGATCTCGACAACAACGCCACCTACCGGATCCAATTGTGAACCTAAACCAATCAAAATTGGTCCAGCCGTTTAGGAGGAATTCAGTCACATACATACGGAGAGAAGAATTATATACAAAGGTTGATTATTCAAAGAGTAACCAAATTTTAAAATTAAGTTCAAATACATATAATATATATAATGATATACCGTTATTTTAGTTTTTGAAAATACGAGTAAATAAGGCTTCTACTTTTATTTGAAACTATCCCAAATTGAATGTGATTTATGGGCAACAACGTTTTTGCCTAACGATCGACCCTTACGAATGTGTGCGTGCGCAGTAAAATCAGTTAAAATAATGCATTATCACGCATTTTGAATTCAAAAGATAATCATTTAAACTTAAAAATTGTGTACAGCCGACTTCAATATAAATTATTAAGAATAACTCAAAAACTATTGGTCACACCTTGATCAAATTCATATGAGACCATATGTGAAATACCAGCTTTCAAATAAAAATATTTTAATGAAATTTTGCGTGTGTTTGAGTTGAGGGTACCTGGGTGGTTCATCATCATCATCATCATCATCATCATTACAGCCCTTCACAAGTCCACTGCTAAACATAGGCCTCCCCCAAGGAATGCCACAAAGCACGGTCCTGAGCCACCTGCATCCATCGACTTCCTGCATGTCTTACCAGGTCGTCATTGCATCTAGTGGGGGGTCGCCCTACACTTCGCCTACCGGTACGAGGCTGCCACTCGAGAACCTTTCTTCCCCATCGGTTGTCGGTTCTTCGAGCTATATGGCCGGCCCACTGCCACTTCAGCTTACTAATCTGTTGGGCTATGTCGGTCACGCTGGTTCTACTGCGGATATACTCATTTCTAAGTTTATCACGCAGAGACACCCCGAGCATAGCCGTCTCCATAGCTCGCTCAGCGACCTTGAGCTTCCTCATACGGCCAGCAGTGAAGGACCACTTCTCAGATCCGTAAGTCATCACTGGCAACACGCACTGGTTGTACAATTTCGTTTTCAGGTTTTGAGGTATGTCTAACGAGAAGATGTGTCGTAGTTTCCCGAACGCTGCCCAGTCGTGTTGAATCCGTCGATTGACCTCTCGGTCGAAGTTGGACTTACCTAGTCGAACTATTTGTCCCAGGTAAACATACTCGTCAACAACTTCGAGCTTAGTGGTCAAAACAACTACCGGCATAGGTGTGACATGGACGTTAAACATGATTTTTGTTTTGTCCATGTTCATCTTAAGACCTATCTGTTGGGAGACGCTATTGAGGTCATTGAGCATAGTGTTTAGGTACTCCAGCGATTCTGCCATAAGGACTATATCGTTTAATTGATGTCAATACCGCATCCTTTCCAGTCCAGTAGCTTGAAAACGTCTTCCAATGCAGCGGTGAAGAGTTTCGGGGATATAACGTCACCCTGTCTTACACCTCTCTGCAGTTGTATAGGTTTCGTACTCTGATTCTGTACTCGGATAGCCATCATAGCTCTACTGTACAAACACTTCAGCACTTCGATATACTGATAGTCAACTTGGCACCGCTGAAGGGACTGCAGCACCGCCCAAATTTCGACGGAATCAAAGGCTTTCTCATAGTCCACATACGCAAGGCAAAGTGGCAGATTATACTCCTCTGTCTTCTGTACAATCTGCCGCAGGTTATGTATGTGGTCTATGGTACTAAAGCCTTTTCGGAAACCAGCTTGTTCGGGAGGCTGAAAGTCGTTAAGTCTGCGCGCGAAACGATTCGTAATGACTCTAGAAAACAGCACGTAGACGCCGCTCAGAAGTGAAATCGGTCTGTAGTTCTTCAAGAGAGCGTTGTCGCCTTTCTTGAAGAACAAGACCACCGCACTTCCGCTCCACTCCTCCGGAGTAGTGCCACCATGGAAGACGGAATTAAAGAGCTTCCGAAGGACTTCAAGTACCGGTTTTCCACCCGATTTCAAAAGCTCCGCTGTAATTCCATCCTCGCCTGGGGACTTGCCGTTTTTAAGGTGCTGGAGAGCCATTCTAATCTCGCTCAGGGATTTCGGATTCCGGGATATCTTCGGAATAGTGTCGGATAAGACTCGCTCTTGGATCGTTACTCACACTTGCGTATGGCTCCAACGATGACGTGTACAACTGCTCATAGACCCTCTCAATCTCACTCAAAATCTCAGGTGTCCCGGAAACGATGCTGCCACACTCGGTCTTCAGCTTCGACAGTTGGCACTTTCTGGCAGACAGATCTCTGGCAAAGACTTTGGAGCCTTGGTTCCGCTCGATCGCTTCTTCAATACAAGCTGTATTGAAGTTGCGTAAGTCCCGCCGCATGCATTTGGAGATCTGTCTGTTCAGTTGCCTATATGCTGGCAAATCTGTTGATGAATGTAGCTTCATCTCCCGTCTAACAGCCATGAGATTAAAAGTGTGATCGGAGAGTTTTTGTGTTCTTCTGCGGCGGGTCTTGCAGAACTTAGCACCGACCGCATGGACAGTTTCCACGAGCTTGTCATTCATATCGTCCACTTCAATGCAGTCTTCTAGGCACTGAAAACGGTTTTGTAACTCGAGCTGAAAGGTTTCGGGACTTTGGAACAGAGCACGAGGCGGACGGAGCGTTGACTTCATTAGACGAGACCTCTCCAATTTAACATTTAGGTTCAGTGTGCCTCTAACCATTCGGTGATCGCTACCAGTTTTCACCCTCGCGATTACGGAGACATCACTGAACAGTTGTCGTCTGGTCGTCATAATGAAGTCAATCTCATTTTTTGTTGAACCGTCGGGGCTCGACCAGGTCTACTTCCTGTGGGGCCGCTTCTGGAAGAAAGAGTTCATCATAAAGAGTCCCTCTTTCTCAATGAAGTCGGCCAGCTGCTGGCCTCTTGGATTCCGTTGCCCTATTCCAAATTTCCCTACTTTCAGCTCACCATTCTCTCTTGTGCCTAGTTTTGCATTGAAGTCTCCCATTAACACCGGTTTTGGAGCAATGCATGGCTCTAGAGATATCCTCATACATTTCCTCCACCTCCTCATCGGGATGTGCTGGGTGGTTAAGATTCACAATTGGACACGGTAGGTGCCGGTGTTGTTGACATTCAGAAATCACCCGTACGAAGTCGTTATTTGCCTATGTCAGCACTGTAATATATAATAGTATAATTATGATAATATTGAAAATGAAATTATTAATATATACTAATTATGAAGTGCGGAGCTTTTTTTATATAGTCTTTTTTTATATAATAGTATATGTCTGTGGCCCATAGACATCTACATTTTCACGGAGTGAAACTCATCGCATGCATATCTAATCGCATCATAGCCGAAAAGGCAGAACAACGTCTGCCGGGCCACAGAAAGAATGAATGAGAAAAATACCTAACATAACCGTCATCGGTAGGCGTCGACCATCTTGCCATTGTTGCTTCTGCCGTTTCTTTAGTGATGCGACGACTCTTCACCAGTTTGGCGATTGCCTGAAATTTGTTTACATATCTTAAATAAAAAATTTGAAAAAAACGCAGCCATCAAAACTAAAAAATAATTTAACTGAACTAATACTTTTGCTTTTGACTAAGACCTTATTATATATAGTCGAGTAGTATCCATAGAAGTGTTTGTCGTTAATGTTGTAGAAAATTATTATAAAAAATAAATGGGTATGGAACGTTAAGTCGTAGCATTATTTTCATTCATTTTAAGTTTTCTACAGCGTTAAGGATATTAGCATGTCATTGGCTAACCCCACTGTGACCTTTGTATAGAGTTAGTTACAACGCGATTCATATAATAATAGGAACCTCAATGATAGTTATGACCTTATAATAGTTACAAATAACAGAAATAAAAAATTGCAAAATTGTCTTAGATGAAAATTTACAAAATTGTAGAATTGTAGCTAAATTTATCAGTGTTGTTCCTTTTAGAATTCTGTAGCTTTTTGAATCGGCATTTAAAAAATACTAAGTATACTTAGTATTTTTTAAATGCCGTGCCGCCGTGTAGTGGTGGTGTAAGAATATCTACTACCCCATATTATCATCTCGTGGGTGTCGTAAGAGGCGACAGAGGGAAATAAATCAGGACATGGGCAACTGCTTCTTCCTAATAACGACTAAAAAAAAAACAAGTGCGGTTGCCGACCCGGGATTTGCCATAGTTGCTAGGCAAGCGGGTTGGCGACGGCAGTTTTTTATTATTTTCCCTCTGTCGCTTCTTGCGAAACTCTTGGCACGATATGGGGTAGTACATATTCTTACACTGCCACTAAACGGTTACGTATATGTCACTTTTGTACAGTTATCGGATTGTAGTGTTTATTAAATAGGGCAATATAGCCAGGTGAAATGTTAGCTTGTTTGTCACTACATTATTGATTGCCTTCATTTTTTAGTAGTCAGTTAAACAACGATTTATCCATCACTTACCTCCTCTTTCTTGTACTTTGGTCCTAGTTCTTTTGGCACATTGTACTTATCGTAGTTTTTTATGTACACCTTGAAAGACTGCTCGTACCTGTAAATAAACATCGTAATTTATTTCTCAATATATGAAGGGAAAATTTTGTACTTCTTTTTATGCATATTGCTTGCACGGAGGAGTGTGAAATTTAACTTAGTTAAAAGCTCAAATTTATGTATATCACCAGCAATCTGCCCTAGATTTGCATGATTCCTGGATCTCGATAACAGCGCCACCTATCGGGTCAAATAGTGAATCTAAACCGTCCACCAACCATTCCTAATCAACCTTCGAACTCAAACACACAAAAGATCATCAAAATTGGCCCAGCCATTTAGGGAGTTCAGTGAGAAACGCACGCACAGAAGAATTATAGATATAAACAGCGAATGCTTAGCCAGTGAGTTACCACGGTTCTCAATTTACTACAACAGAAATGCATCATAATCATCATTATTGCAAGCAAAGTATTGCTGTAAAGCACGGTCCTGAGCCACCTGCATCCCTCGTCTTCTTCTATTTCTTCCACATCTGGGGGGGGGGGGGGGGGGGGGGCTGGGCATTTTGTAGTATAAGTTTGGTAACAGGCCATTAGCTCTTTTTGATATATATATTAGAACCGACCCATTCGTGCTACAACTATACTATTAATATAGCTGCAGCATGGCTCTACCACGTAAAAAAATATACATTACTAAGTACTCCGAACTGAACCTCAATCTTTTTTTTAATCTGAATGACATACAGGCACACAGTCCAACTGATGGTAAGGAGATGCTGTGGGTCTACATTTATCCTCGATTAATAATCAAAATGCAGATGCGTTTTCACGCCTTAGGTCTAAGATGGAATGCCTCATTTCCAATATCTCTGGTCCAGGGTCTCTATACACACCATACGAAACACAGCAGTATTACGCTGCTATTTTACACTGGTAGTCTGTGAGAGCGTTGCTATAGCACGTAAAATCTCATACTAATTGCTTTAATATCTTTTATGCAAAGAAAATTTAAATAGTTTAACCTTTACCATATTGGGAAATTCTTGGCCGGGATTGCAACAAGGTGAGTAACGGGATCCAAGGCGATCAGCTTGGATATTTCGTCTGGGAACGCGAGCGCGTACATGAATCCTGTGAAAAATAAAGCGAAAAACATATATAGAAGGTTGATATGTCGGTAAAATGTTATTGGTAATGATAC